ATTTTTACATATTCAAAAACGCAACACGTTACAGATGATAAAGTTACATTAAAGTTCTGACTTAGTAAAGGATAGCAAGAAACATAACATATAACAATTTTATGGCAACAATACTACATTGTGGAGGTCAGAAAAAGACAGTATTGTAACATAATCAAGACCAGGCACTGAACAGCAGGGGTATTTCAGTTAGGTCAGACAAGAGGCAGCAGAATTACATTACAATGATCCAAAAAGAGTGAACAGAATCACAGTACCGAAAACATTACCCAAAATTATTAATTTATTCGTGTTAGGATTGTTTTGTTAACATAGATTTGAGGTATTAGGCTCGTTTTAAGCTAATAGCTTGATAATTTACATCACAGGAAAATTTGTTATATAATAATCACGCGTCTAAACTGAAAATTAATTGTTTTTTTGTTTTAGACTCTACTGCTGATAAAAAAGAAACGAATAGATTAAAACACATTTAAAAAAATCGAGAATTGAGAACTTATAATACAGTTTGGTTTGCTTGAGGGTTAATCATCGAGCAGAAAGATACTATTAGAATTGTAAAGTCTACATTTTGTTTTTAATGTTTAAGTCGGACATAAAAGTATAAAAATATTCTGAACTTGTTTAATGTATACCTAGAACTAATCTATAAAATATCTTCGGTTGTTTTTTGTTCAACGACTGAGCTTATCTCTTATTAAAGTTTTACATTTAACTTTTAATCAAGTATTAAAAAAGGGTATTTCACATCACTCATCAATCAGTGTCGTAACAGAACTTCCACTAAACGTCAAGTATATGGAAATGATGAAAGCTCCTTCACTATGAAAAGCAAATGTGTATTTTCAATCGATATGGCTTATCTTATACGCAATCGTGTTTTCAGTTCGCCTTGTTGACAGGCGAACATACTTCTCATCCCTTAATGTGCAGTCATGTTGAAATATAGGTATGTAGCAGAAACACTCAATTTTTTTTTACAGTTGATATGACAAATATATACCATCTAGTATTGCAGATATATCAGAATTGTTGTAATGATTTTTCCAGCAATTGTTGCAGATAACCCAGTTGTATGATAATGACATTTTTCAACTAAGGTTGTAGATACCTCGGAAATATAGTTACAATAACCGCTAGAGGCGTATAGCGGAACGTACCGTAACGATATTGAGGCACTTTTTGAAATCTTTTGACCATAAATAAAATTCTTTTCACATCAAACGATGTTAGAATTTGACCACAAACGTGAAAATTTATAAAATAATATCGCCGTCGCCTCGCTATGGGATATTGTGACAGCAAATTCACTGCTTGAGCGTAACATGGAATGAAACAATAGCTATTTTTGTCGATTTATTGTGTGTATGCAACATTGTACGCAGATGTGATTCATGTGTATGCAACTTTGTACGCAGATGTAATTCAATTTACATTCCCCTTTATTAAGCTCCATAAACACTGGATGTGAAAAGAGCAAATACACAAATAATGCTATTATTTCAAATGAACTAATATATGCCCTTGGTAAAACAAATGACAAATCAATATCTTTTTTTTCTTTGCTCTATTGCACCCGAAATGCATTCGGTTATTATTATTCACACCCTTGTAGAACACACCTACAGTATAGTATGATCAAATGATTCATTTTGCGATAGTAACAGTGGATAAAATATTGAAAAATGTCTTCCAAGAAGAACCCTAGTTTTTATTGTAACTAGATTTTAATTTTTTTTTTAGATTTAATTTCTATTTCGATAATTTATTGTGTTAATTTTCGTTTTCCTTACCAAAACAATTGGAATAGGTACGTTATTTTTAACTGTTGTTGAAAAGATATACAGTATACCCTCACCTGTTCGCGGTTCCCTATTCGCGGCCCCGCATATTCGCGGGTTAGGCTCTTAACCCTATCGCATCGTATGCCGGTATACCGGGCTAGCGTCATAACGTCATAAAAACGAATGCTCGGTAAAGTGCCTGAAAAGGAGGAGTAATTACCTAAAGTGCTGTAAAGCAGCAGCTAAGCTGTGCCATACTGTACATTAGTGTTATCATCATCATCGTATGGCACAGCAAATTTCATTATCATTTTATTATCATTCATTATTGGTGAGTGCACAAACAATATTAATTTTTTTTCAATTATTATTGCAATACAGTACGTATTTTTTATAAATGCATACACTGTATGTACAGTGCATATTTTTTGTGACCGTGTCGCAATTAAAAACATTATTAAATATTATTACTGAATTGTACTGTACTGTATTATTATTACCTGAACTGTGTGTACTGTATTTATCTGTCTAAGTTTGCCTTTAAATTTGTTCCACTTTCTGTCAATTCTAATACATATGTTGTACGCATAGAAAATGACTTTACGGTACAGTAATACAGTATGGGTAACTATGCTATGCAGTGTTACTGTCCTCCTGTACTTCAGTAATACAGTATGGATAACTATGCTATGCAGTGTTACTGTCCTCCTGTACTTCAGTAATACAGTATGGGTAACTATGCTATGCAGTGTTACTGTCCTCCTGTACTTCAGTAATACAGTATGGATAACTATGCTATGCAGTGTTACTGTCCTCCTGTACTTCAGTAATACAGTATGGGTAACTATGCTATGCAGTGTTACTGTCTTCCTGTACTTCTAGTAATACAGTATGGATAACTA